CTGTTCATATTTCAAGTCCTCTAAAGTTCAGGTCCTTTGCCGCTACTGTGAATCCTGAAGCCAGAGTGATAAGGGAATCCCAGATCAGGATCACAAGCTGTTAACAGCTGGACTGGGTCACCTCCTCAGGTGAGAATATACAAATGCTAGACCAGGCTGCATTAACTCCCTAGGTGCTCACTCTGTTACCTGCATCATCTCCCTCAGTTAAATATCCACCGAGTTGCATCAATTGCCTCATTTTCTCTTTGGAGATCTTCACGTATTTGTCACAGTTGCACACCTGAAAAACAGGAAAGAGGGGCAGATGTTAGTTAGGTGGCAGTACCTAAGCCCTCTGCCTTTCTGCCACACTATTTGGCCAGGCATCCCACTGCATTTTTAGGCTAATGAATTCACCTCATAACTCTCCTCTGATGTGGGTCAGCAGCATCAGATGGGGAAACAGAGGTACAGAAAGGCATGAGTCAGTGAGGTCAAGGTGAGGCTGTGAGAGAACTAGAGTAGATCTGAGAGAACAGATTTTCTGACACCTAGGTCTATGCTGTGTCACAAGGATGATAATAAAAGTTATGAGAAAATGCACTGCAGCCCTAAGTCAGCTCTGTCCCCACTGACCACACAGCTGGGGTGGTGCTATCAGCCTGCTGGTCAGAGGTATTTCCCAGGCAGATTGCATATTTAGAGTCAGTTATGGTGCCCAGGCTCATACCTCTGTTGGTCCTATGACTGACAGCCTCCTCCTCAGGACCCCTCGGACCAGAATCAGGGAAAGAGTTGAGCTGCAGTCAGGCATCAGGACTACAGCAACACACTGCCCTGTCCCCATTCTGCTGCCCATCAGGGGGTCCCTCTGGGGGTGATGCACCAACCTCCATGCCTGGCTGAGCAGCTGGCATGTGAGCTCTTGACTCATTTGACAGAACGGCCTCAGGCAGCGAAGGGGGCCTGCCTCAGCTTCCTCAGCTCCAGCCAGCTCAGGCAGAAGACTGGGATGCATGTATCTACTTGGAGGGTGGTGCTGGGTGAGGGGCTCTTCCCCCACCTAGTCCCTCACTGCTTCTGATCCACTCCTTGGCAAAGCTGGATTGTGGCTTGAACTCTGGGTCAAAGTCTAGAGAGAAAAAAATAGCTGTGCCCAGCTGTATTGTGTAATGCTCCCATAAAGAACAATGTTAATTGAGATGCCCATTAAAAGCCCATAATAAAGCTTATTCATTACGAGACCGTAATTTAACAGAGAAAATCCAGCAGCGCTCTCTAGGAATACCCCCTACCCCCAAAGAAATGAATACTGTTAGCCTTTCATGGCTAGCCAGCTCAGACCCAGCACAGCACTGGAAAGACAGATACCTGCTGCTTGGTTACCCACTGGTGTATCTCACTCAGCTGGGATCTGGATGGTGCCATAAAATGGCAGAAGCTGAGACTATCTGTAAATGTCAGCAGGACCCCAAGCGACTGAGTTACAGCCTTGAGACTCACTCTGATTTGCATAAAGAGTGTACAGCGCTGAAAAGCTTGCAGAGGTAATGAGGGGCTTTTAAAGAGAGACGTTTGCCTTAAAAGATGCACTTGGCCGGGACCATTTCTTATTTATCCCAAATTGCGCATAAACTGGGGGCTCAACTGGACATGTCTTAAAGGGAGCTGATTTTCAAAAAGTGCTGCCTGCTGCCTCTCTGAAAATCAGGCCTCTTTAAGGCGCCTGCTCTTGGACACCCAAAAACTGAAGTCCCTTGAATCCCTAGTTGTTTTGGAAAACTGAGATCCAGATTACTAGTCCTGCAATGAGAGAATAATAACGTATTGTCCCTAGTCTCAGTGGGCTGAGCCTGTGGATAAAACCCCCTGATCCCAATGAAGTTAGCTGAAAATTCATGGGGGCCAGGATTTCACCTTGTGCAGTTAGCGCATGTATAAGCTGCCTCAGCATGCAAAGGAATGCCCCCCATTAAGCACATCACGTTCACATGTCCCCTCCCTATGTTGTAAATCCCAGAAACGAGGCTCTGAGCTAATGAGCATGTCCAAGGCAGAGAGCCTGAGAGTGGCACTGGCCATATGCTCAGCATTGCCTATGTTGTCCTATTTTCAGGCATTGGCATGTGTGAAGCAACAGTGGGCAGGCAGGGCATATTGCATGGTGGTCTGCCTGGGCACAGCAGGGGATGCTGTAGACATGTCCTTTTGTGGTGCTCTGTCTGGTCAGGTCCATTGCTCCCCCTGGCTTGGGCAGTCTCCTTATTGTTTGCGGGTCTTTCATACAAGGAAGAGAAGGACCTTTGAAAACCTGAGAAATTGTGGCTAAGCCTGCAACATCTGGGAGATGGGCTCAGCTGAAATGCCTGGAAACCCAGAATACCTTGAAATTCCTATTTAAAAGAAAAGGGACAAGGTTTCAACTTGGCAAGACCCTTTAAATAAGCAGCATCTGAAGGGTGTAACCAGGCAAGTACATACCTCTTTAAATGTAACAAGCTGCCTTTGAGGGATTTGCTCTGTTGAAGCCAGAGAGCATTTTCCCATTGATTCCAATGGGTTGTGGATCAGGCCTTTAGCTCTTCTGAAGTGTCTGAGCAGGCCTCAGTGCAAAGTAGCAGAACTATCATAAGATGGGGCAATGACTCCCCTTCTACTCAACTGGGTGAATAAGGGGGAAGTGGAACAATGATTTGATAGAAAAAGAGCGTGTAATCATTGCCCAGGCACATACCCGCTGTGATGTGGTACAGCCATCCGTAGGCAGCCGGGCACTCTGAGAAGTGAAGTCATAAGCCCCAGCCTGTTCATGACTCAGGCCGTATCTATCTTCTGCTCTCTGAAGCGGTGCCTCCAGTACCGCCAGAGATGGTGGGTAAGTGAAAGCCTCAGCAATTGCTATGCAATCAGGCACAAGCGCTGTTCAGGGAAGTTACTTTCCATGCACTGCAGCTTTCTGCTCAGCCACTTCCTCCCAGCCCTTTGTGACTCTTTTGCAGAACGAAGGATGCCCTGAATGCCATAAAATCAACCTCCCTCCTCCTCTGCCTGCTTCAGGAGACTTAGCACTGTGTATCAGACCAGACTGGTTTGGCATCCAGCAGCAACCCAATTTGAACGCCCTTTGCAGTGGATGGCAAAGGTGCTTAAGAGCTTGAGGGGGTAAGTTCCAGTCACAGTGCTTCAGCGCCTGCCTCTCCATCTGTGACCCAGCTGCCCTCCAGGACCTGCAGATGACAGAGCCTGAGTGCTTGTGGTGCAGGACATTGTCAGGGACAGAAACTGAGCTGTGCAACTTCACACTAATGGAACTGGGCTGGGTCCAAGCTCAACCCATTTAGCATTCAGGAAAACCTCCTTTTTGGACATAAGCCTTTCCGTAGTAATGAGGGCTGGCTTGGCAAGGGGCGGGGGGGACGACAGAGGTAGTAAAAAGAGGAAACCTAAGTAACCTGATTCAGAATGCAAGGGACTAAAGAAATCCCCGCCATCTGCTCTGACTAAGCACTGCCAGGCTATGTGCAATACAACCTCTGAGAAAGAGACAGCCAGTGAGACAGACAGCAAGGCAGCAATTTTCAAAACCACCCCATCCACTCAAGAGATGAAGCCCCTTTTCCAAATGTGAGTGTAACATTCTGGGTTTAAATCCTACTGATTTTCAAGCTCAAAATGTTGAGGAGTCTTCTGCAAATGGAACTTATGCCCCTGAGGCACTTTGGCACTATTGAAAACCTTTCCTTCAGTCCATATTTCTTAGTTCATCACAAGGTATCAGCAAATGCACAGGGACTCCCAGAGCTTAGTGTAACCATTATTCCCAAACAGGAGAAAAATCTGAGTCCGGTTCTGAGCTGCTAGGGGAAGCTTGCTGCAAATCTATATCAAACGCTGCAATTAGTGACAAAGTGGTGTGTCTACAAGTGCAATTAATGCAACTGAGTACATTGCAGATTGCTCCTGGGCACAGCATCTACATGTGTGCCTGGTACAGCAGCAGATATAGCCTGGGAGGAGCAGTTCAGGCCAGGGCTGCTCCTGCCCTGCTCTGGCCTCCTGCAGCAGCCAAGGGGAGCTCCAGACTCCAGCCACAGCTGGCCAGGTGCCAGCCCCAGGCTGGTACGGGGAACAGGGGTCAGGCCCAGGCTGTGGCTGGCAGCAGCAATGTGGTCTGGGGTCTTGAAGGCAGCCCGGGGCTGGCAGGGAGCAAGGGGTGGGGGGTCAGGCTCAAAAAGTGGGTGGCTGCATCAGGTAGTGGAGGAGCTGGCTGGGCTATGAAGCTCCTGCAGCTGTCAAGCCATGTGCCTAGGCAGCAGCCAGAAGTGTGGTCCACTGCTGGCTGGGCTGACTGGGAGCAATTTACTCCTGGGTCAGTGTGTATACATGTGTTGCTGTGCAGTAAATAACTCTGCAGTAGAATAGTACTTGTATTTACAAGTACTATCCTGCTGCAGAGTTTATTAATTTCCTGTGGCCTAATAAGGCCTTATGGATAGATGGGAGATGGTTACTGCAGAGGTAATTAGGCAACTCCACAGTAGACATGACCAGTAAGACCAAGGGTGAGGACAATAGACAATATCATTCAATATTGAATGATACCTCCTGGCAGGAGCTGTTGCAAAGTAAGTTATATCTGCAGGCTTCTAGAAGGATGTAAGTGTAGCAAAACCATTTTAACTTTAACATACTTTACTGAGAGTTCATATTACCGGAATTTAGCACCTTTGTAGGGATATAGAAGCATTCAGACTTCACTGTTGCATCCTAGCGGGGGGCTGGACCTGATGATCTTATGAGGTCCCTTCCAGTCCTAATGTCTATGAAATCTATGAAACTCCTTCTCCGCTTTTAAACAAAGTTACATCTGTCCACAGCTTGATTATGCTCTTCTGAAGCACTGGGAAATCACACGGGAAATCCAGGTTGGGAAAACCTGAATTCTCAGAGAAGCAAGATCCATGCTTCAGATAACCACAAGGGAGGTGTCATTTTTGATTTTCCTAGGAACAAAACCTAAAGCAGGGTTAAATTATAACTTAAAGAGGTTATCTGATCTGGTCTTCTCAGGGTTTAGCTGTCTTGAATAAACAAGGACCTTAGATCTCATGATTGTCTCACTTTTCATTTGCATACCATTCCTTCATTATAACTGCATTTCTTTTAGATGCAAGTCTGCTAGTGCTTGGGAAGGAATTTACAATACTTTGGTTGTCAGGTAGGTTGAGATGGGACCAATTTTCTAAAATACACTGAAAAATGCTGGAGTAAATCCGATGCCATTTTTGAGACTCATGGAAA